CTCAGCCGGGCGCGCCCCCCTCCCCGGGGACCCTGCCTGCGGCCGGCAGCTGAGCTGGGGTTTGCTGATCAAAGCACGGGAGCCCCTGCGCCCCTCTGGGGCTCCATGTGGGGGGGGGCGGGGACAGGGGTCACTTCCAGCCTCCCCTCCTCCTGCCATTAAAGGCACCCGGGGCTGGGAGCACAGCTGGGAGCTGCCTGCCGGGGCAGGGGAGCCCGAGGACGGGGAGCCCTACGGAGCGGGGACAGCAGGGAGCCCCGGCGGGGAGCCCAAGGCAGTGCCCCCCTCCAGCCCTGGGGAAGCGGACCTCCACCGAGCCCCTCGAAGAGCCGGGGCAGCAGCGCGGACTGTTGTTCTCGGCTGTGCTCCAGCCCCGGCCAGACCCAGCACCTCCCCATCACCCCTGGGCTCCAGCCCCCTGTGCCCTGGGGACACCGGGCGCTCAGGGCTGGCTGTGCCACGGCCGGTGGCCCCGGCCGGACACCCGCACCGGTTTTGAGGATGAGGAGGTGTAGGGCGTCGTCGCGCAGGTAGGACGCCGCGGCGATCTCGTGGGTGGGGATGCGCAGGATCAGCTCCTCGTTGTCGCGCCAGGTGAGCAGGAGGCAGCGGGCGGAGAGGCTGAGGATGCTGTCCTGCTCCGGCGTCGTCTGCAGCGGCAGCTCCTTCAGCTGCTGCGGGGGCAGAGCGTGTGCCGGGCCGTGGGGCACCCAGCGGCGTGGGGCACCTGGCACCCACCCTCTGGGCAGCGCTGGGGGGCACTCAGGGGCGTGGGGGGCTTCGGGACCCCTCTTACCCTGGCCGTGTCCAGCAGCTGCAGCACCTCATCCCGGCTGGAGGGGTTCAGGGAGGCCGTCACCCATGTCAGGTGGCCTAAAAACTGGGGGGGAACAAAACCCAGGGCAGCCAGGGGGGGCTGGGGCATCCATCTCCCCACCCCACGGCCCAGAGCCTCCCCCAGAGCACCCACATCCACACGGGCAGGATGCATTTCCCTGGGGTGCAGGGAGATCCTGCAATGGGGGGTCCTCCCTGCACCCTCAGCCCGCCCTCCCCCTCCCTGCGTGTTGCCCTGGCAGGGAGGGGACCGGGACCCTCCTGGCCACCGTGGGTGGTGGCTCTCAGCGTGGTGTGGTGGCCTTGTCCCCCCTTGCCATGCACAGGCAGGGAACCCGGGCATCCCCCACCCCCTTACCTTCACCTCCTTCTCCACATAGTCATGCAGCAGGATCTGGGGGTCGATCAGGTAATCGGGGGGGTAGAGGGGCACCGAGTGCAGTGGCCGCCGGTAGACGCTGCTGCGGGGCGCCGGCCTCCGAGCCGCCTTGGGGAAAACCAGCCGCTTGATGGGCGACACGAAGCCCTGGCAGGGAGAGAGGGCACCGGGACACGTCAGTGCCGGGCACCCAACCCTGGCACCCATGCACGGGGTCTGCGGGCACCCAGCGCCTGAGGAGGGGCTGGGCACCTCTCTGCTCACTGACCCCAAATTTGCACCATTTGGGTGGCCCAGGAGGCAGCGAGCGGGGACCCCACCTCTCCCCGCCGCGCCGCAGGAGGGGGTGCGGAGCCCCTCGTCCCGGTGTCCCCACGCGTCTCGCCCACTCCCACCCTCCCGCCAGTCCCCCGGGACACCAGCCCCAGGCCCACGCACCTTCTTCCCCTTCTTGGCCTCGCTGTCCATGGCGGGGCCGCGGCACTGCCTCCCGGCACGGCCGCCCCCACCGCCCCGCGCGGCGCCGCTGCGTTTTCCTGTGTCGGAAACTCCACCAGGACGGCTGGGATGTGAGTTCCTGCCCCTCCTGGGGGGTGCTGGGACTGGGCTGGGCTGGGCTGGCACTGGGACTGGGACAGGGACAGGACTGGGGCTGAGACTGGCACTGGCACTGGCACTGGCACTGGGACTTGGACTGGGGCTGGGACTGGCGCTGGGACTGGGACTGGGATTGGGACTGGGGCTGGGACTAAGACTGGGGCTGGGCTGGTACTTGGGCAGAAGCAGGGGCTGAAGAAGGCTGGGATGGGACTGGAGCAGGGGCTTGGACTGGGACTGGTGCTGGGGCTGGGCTGGAACTCGGGCTGGGACTGGGACTGGGGCTGGGGGTCACTTGGGCTGGGACTGGGCTGGGATTCGGGCAGAGGCAGGGGCTGAAGTAGGCTGGGATGGGGCTGGAGCAGGCGCCGGGGCTGTGGGTGCCCATGGGACCCGGCTGCAGAGCAGCCCCTGCCCCTCGCTGCAGCCGGGCTCCCCCTGGACCTGGGACCGGTTCCACTGCCCCGTGACCCCGCATCAGCCCCGTCCTCGTGGGGCATTACTGGGGGTCCCGGCCCTCATTGCCCCCGTCCTGCCCTGCCCACGCGGGGCCCTGGCACGGGGAACGGCACTGGCAGGAGCCCATGCAGCTGCACCCAGCACCCCGTCCCCATGGCCGCCCATGGGGCCCGAGCCCCCCGTGGGTCTGGGGGCCGGCTGGGGATCCGGGCCTCTGGCAGGGAGGTTGGCCCGGCAGTGGCCATGTCCGGCGGTTTCCTCCCCGGCACGCTGCATCCTGCCCGCACACCCCTTCCCTGCCGGCCACCACGCTGTGGCCAGCACCGGCCCAGGCCACCGACACCGGAGAGGCAGCACTGCTGCAGCCGTCCTGCTCCGTCCCCCAGCGTCCCTGAGCACCCCGGGACAGAGGGGCAGCGTCCTGCCCTGCTGCGGAGCCCGGGGCGTGAAGCCGGAGGTGCTGGCAAGGACAGGTTCCTGCAGGCAGGGCTTATTGAAATGAATTTAATATCTCATGTTGCAGCAAAATTAAAAATATACAAAAAGTTTGTGGTATACAAAAAAGTCTCGGTACGGACCCCGGCCTCCCACTCGCCCCCCTGCCCGCGCCGAGGGTCCCAGAGAAGAAGGTGGCACACAGAGTATTTACAGTACGTGACAGCGGCCGCCAGGTCCCGGCACCGGGGGGGCCGGGGACGTGGTCAAGACCCCCCAGCAGCCCCCGCCAGGCACAAACGGCCCCAGCTGAGGGCGAACAGGGCCAGGCCCCAGCCCAAACCTCTTCCCGCTCCCTGAAGCCCGGACAGCCCCGCTGCCGCCCCCAGGGGTGACACCCCCGGGGACCAGGACCCCCGTCCCCGCTGGGAGCTCGAGCACCCCTGGAGCTGCCCCCATCCCACAGCACCTGGCTCAGCCCTGGGTCGCGCCCCCTCGCTCGCCGCTGTCCCGGTGGGCAGGCACCGCCATCCCAGTGCTGCCACCGGCACCGGGGCGCTGGTTT